TTGTGTGCAGGTCTGGAGCCCTCAATATAAGAAGGACATGGACCTGATGGAGAGGGTCCAGAGGAGGGCCACAAGGATGATCAGGGGGATGGAGCACCTCTGCTCCGAGGACAGGCTGAGGGAGCTGGGGTTGTTCAGCCTGGAGAAGAGGAGGCTCCGGGGAGACCTAATAGCAGCCTTCCAGTACCTGAAGGGAGCCTACAGGAAGGCTGGGGAGAGCCTGTTTAGAAAGGCCTGCAGTGACAGGACGAGGGGCAATGGCTTCAAGCTGGAGGGGAACAGATTTAGACTGGAGATGAGGAGAGGGTTCTTCACTGGGAGGGTGGTGGAGCACTGGAACAGGTTGCCCAGGGAGGTGGTTGAGGCCCCATCCCTGGAGATATTCAAGGAGAGGCTCGACGAGGCCCTGGGCAACCTGGTCTAGTTGGGGGTGTCCCTGCTGACTGCGGGGAGGTGGGACTAGATGGCCTTTGGAGGTCCCTTCTGGCCTGGGCAATTCTATGATTCTATGAATGCCACGTTCATCCCCACCACCCTGCCTTTGAGCTGTGGGTCCCGGAGGTAGCGCCCATGAGATGTTTCTCCTGGTCTCGTGGTCCTCCCGTTGCCCAGAGCATCACCCCCTACCCAGGGTGTGGTGGCCCCTGGCACATGTGGGCCACCCCTCGTAGCAGAGGGCCACCACCTCCCGTGCGCTACAGCTGGGATGACCAAATCTTGAAGGTTTCGGACTTCACCTGGCTCTGTCCCCATGCGCTGCAGCTCCTGCCCTGGCCAAACATGGGAGAGACGTCGGGACTGAATCCTTTTGGGATGCTCCGCAGCAATTCTGGCCAGGCTGGGTCATGTTCCTCAAACCCGCTGGCATTTATTATTAGCTGGAGGGAGACGTGAGGCTCTGGAGGCTGCCAAGAGGCAGGCGGGCTGCCCGAGCCCTCTTCTCCTGCCTGTCTGCCCGTCTGCAGTCCCTGGCAGGGCTCCTTCCTCATCCTCCTCACTCGGGTTCTTGCTTAAAATTGTCCCTCTCGTTGCTCCCCTTGTCCCCAGGGGTGGGGTGGCCATGGGTCACGGCTTCTCTGTGCTCTGCAGCGGTGTTGAGGTCGGAATATAAAGCCTGTCCTTGCTCCAAGGTGGGATTTTTCCCCATCCCCCACCTTTTTCCACCCCATTTTGGGGCTGGTGAATGAACCCTGGGGTCTGCTCTGGGGGGGACCTGGCTGCTCGCTGCCAACGGGGACCCCAGGACCGGCGCTGAGCCTGGAGGGTCTGGTAGCCCTGGCAAGGGTTGGTGTCGCTCCCCGACGCGGTGGCAGGGTTGGCAGTGTGTGGGTGGCTTGGGGATGGGGTGGGCATCTTGCCATGGCACTGGGACAGGGTTGGCATCATCCTGCCGTGGCACGCCGGTTGGCATGGCGCTGAAGCACTGGTGCCATCTAGTGCCTTCCAGCCCGGAGCTGGCTGGTCTTGGGGACATGGGATTGTCCCTCACCCCCACTGCTGTCACCCCCGTTTCATCCTGGGGTGGAGGTTTGGGTGCCTGTGGCCGCAGCTGGTAGCTGAGGGCAATGACACCCCAGGTTTGGTGCTGGATGTGGGGCTGTCTCCCTGCTGGCACCAACCCCTCAGCTGGGGGACGGTGATGGGGATGGTCTTGAGATGCCACCTGCCCACGGGTCCCTCCCATGGGCATCCCTTGACTTGTTTAGATGTTACCCAGATAAAGAATTAAGGAGCTGCTTCTGCAGGGTCTCACCACCCTCTGCTTTTGCCCTCACCACCCTCCCGCAGGTGCCATGGAGATCCAGGTCCCAGATGAGCCCGTGGTGCTGGATGTGGGGCTGTCTTCCTGCTGGCAGGGTGGGCTCGGCTGGGGGGACGGTGACGGGGATGATCTTGAGATGCCACCTGCCCACGGGTCCCTCCCATGGGCATCCCTTGACTTGTTTAGATGTTACCCGGATAAAGAATTAAGGAGCTGCTTCTACAGGGTCTCACCACCGTCTTCTTTTGCCCTCACCACCCTCCCGCAGGTGCCATGGAGATCCAGGTCCCAGATGAGCCCGTGGTGGCTCTTTTCGGCCGAGATGCCACCCTGCGCTGCTCCTTCTCTCCCGAGGCCAACTTCAGCCTCGCCGACCTGAGCCTCATCTGGCAGCTGACGGACACCAAGCGCTTGGTCCACAGCTTCTCTGATGGCCAGGACCAGCTGGCAGACCAGGTCGGGAGCTACGCCAACCGTACGGCCCTCTTCTACGACCAGCTGGCCCAGGGCAACGTCTCGCTGCTCCTCCGACGCGTGGAGATCTCGGATGAGGGCAGCTTCACCTGCTTCGTCCGGGTCCGGGACTACAGCAGGGCAGCGGTGACATTGCAGGTGGCAGGTGAGAGATGGAGAGTTGGGGTGTCCCTATGTGTCTCCCCGAAGAGAAGGGAGACGTGCCTTGCTCCTCTGTGAAGCCTCTCTCTCTCTCCACTGTTGCCATGGTCTTCCCATGAAGTTGGGTCTCTGTTAGAGACCAACCAGCTGCATCTCCCCAAAATGTTGCTGATGGGGGGTGTAGGCCCTTCCCTGCCACCGTGGAGAGACTCTTAGTTGAGAGGCCACCTGGAAGCATGGCCATAAATGAACCAAAGCTGGGAAAGCTTCAGCTGGTTGGTCTTATCAGCTGGAAGAGTCTGTCCTGGGGCTTGCCCAACCTCATTGGTTTGCTCCAGATCCTGATCCTTTGGTCTTCTCCATCACCTCATGCCGACTGTTCTCTCCCTTGCAGCTCCGTACTCCAAGCCCAATATGAACCTGGAGCCCAACAAGGACTTGAAGCCAGGAGATCTGGCTGTTGTGAGTTGTCACTCTTCCCGTGGCTACCCCGAGGCCAGCGTCCTCTGGCAGGACAGCCGGGGCAGCAACATCACGGAAAACGTCACCACATCCCAGGTGGCCAACGAGGAAGGCCTTTTTGACGTGCACAGTGTCCTCCAGGTGCTGGTAGAGCCCAGCATCACCTACTTCTGCCTGGTGCGAAACCCGGTGCTGCAGCAGGAGACCCAGGCCTCCGTCACCATCACGGGTGAGCCAGTGAGAGCCAAAACTGGGGGAAGGAAGGGATGGGCTCTGTCTGAAGAAGATGACCATGGTGGCACTGGGATCCCTACTTGGACCTACAAGGGTGACTTGAGGCCGTGCTGTCCTCCCCATCGTCCCACGTCAGTGTCCCAGTAGAACCAGTGTCCCTATATCTTCGTCTCTAGCTTTGCTAGTTGCCCCGTCCCAGTCGAAACCACCCCAGAAAGCCAGCACAGGGCATGGTAGTTGTCTTCTCCTTAGCACGTGGCCACGGGATGCTCTCAGCCTGGGGATCTCCATCCCTGCTGTGACAATCCTACTTCAGAAGCACAGGCTGGAGGAGTTCATGGAGCACGTTCAGCCTCGCTGCTTCACTCTGAGCTTCTCCCGCTGCCCTCGTGCGCTCCCCAGTAGCATTAATTAATGTTTAATCACCCTTGATGTGGCACTTGATGGGTTGGGAAGGTGGGTCCTTGGTGGAACATAAACTTTTGGGCTGGATGCACCAAAAACTCGTGTGGGTGCTGCTGGCTGGGAGCAGAGGGGTGGCTTTCGCCTGGGCTTCCACGTGCAAGAGCAAGTTTTCAGCCTTGGGGTGACATCAGTAGAGGTTTGGGACAAGACTTTGTTTGGAGGAGGAGGAGCAATATTACAGGGGAAAATCAGATTTCCAGCTCTCCAGGAGATACCCCACAGCCCCCAGTGGTCCCTACGGGGCCATCCTGGACCCCAGGGCAGATGTCCCCATCCACCCCAGCCCCATGGGGTGAGATGAGAGGGGAAAGGGACCGAGTGCTGCAGCATCTAATGCTTCTCTTGAGCTTCTTAGCGAGTGAAGGGCCAGCAATTTATTAGTGCAATTAAAAATTAATGAAGCATTTTAGGGAGTGACTCAACCTGCTGCTTCCCCGGCCGGATCCAGACCTTCTAGGGGAGGCCATAATTAGGGGCACCGATGGTTTTATTTCCAAAACCTACCCTTTGTGCCACCGACTCCCTCCATGGGGATGTTCCTTTGCCACCGTGGGGTCCCGAATGCTGGACACGTGTCCCTCTGGTCGGGCTGTGGTGCTCACCATGGTGGTGTTTCTCTTCCCCCCCCTCCTCTGTGTAAGGCCAACACCTGGGCTTCCCCGCCGTGGCTCTCTGGGTGACGGTGGGACTCGCTGTCTGCGTCGTGGGGCTCCTTGCTGTCCTGGTGTACGTGTGCCAGAAGAAGATCCGTGAGAGCCTGGAGGAAGAGGAGGAAAACGCAGGCAATACAGCAGGTAGCCCCCCAAAAAGGGAATGGGGTTGGCAGGGAGGGATGGATGGATGGATGGGGCAACGGGTTGGCTTTGGTGGTGGCATCTTCTAAAAGGTGAAGGGATGCTCGGAGCTTCTGGGGTTGGTGGGCACCACCAGATCCGTGCTGGAGAGCCCATGCCGGCTGTGGGCATCGCTCTGGGCAGCTCTTGAAAAAATACTCTTGATTTTCCTCCCACCCAGCATGTCTCCCCCTTTCACCTCCCTGCTCCAAGCATCCTCTGCCTGTGGTACCCACAGCGGGGTGCGTGCAGGGCATCTCCTCCAGGAAGGTCATAAAATCATAGAATTGCCCAGGCCGGAAGGGACCTCCAAAGGCCATCTAGTCCGACCGCCTCGCAGTCAGCAGGGACACCCCCAACTAGACCAGGTTGCCCAGGGCCTCGTCGAGCCTCTCCTTGAATATCTCCAGGGAAGGGGCCTCAACCACCTCCCTGGGCAACCTGTTCCAGTGCTCCACCACCCTCACAGTGAAGAACCCTCTCCTCATCTCCAGTCTAAATCTGTTCCCCTCCAGCTTGAAGCCATTGCCCCTCGTCCTGTCACTGCAGGCCTTTCTAAACAGGTTCTCCCCAGCCTTCCTGTAGGCCCCCTTCAGGTGCTGGAAGGCTGCTATAAGGTGCTACAAGCCAGAATGCCAGATGCTTCACATGCTCCAGAAACAGAAAAGCTTGTTCTTGTTCTTTGGCAGGGACGGAGGAGCAGGACGAGGAGGGGGGGGAACCCAAGACAGGTGAGTGCGTGATGCTCACGTGTTACATACGTGTTTTACCACGTGGTGCTCATGCCAAGGTCCCCTACACACACAAACACCCCGAGGGGCTTTGCACCCTCCATCGATGCTCAGCACCCCCATGATGTTCCACGGATGCTCACGTGTTACATACGTGTTTTACCATGTGGTGCTCGTGCCATAGTCCCCTACACACACAAACACCCCGACGGGCTTCACACCCTCCATTGATGCTCATGATGTTCCACACACCCCTCGGGCTGGCAGCTCTGTGATAAGCCACGTTATCTTTTAATAAAAAAGCACACACGGCGCTCTTTTTTTTTTTTTATATATTAAGGAGAGATGTTTTCACAAAAAGGGGGGCTTTGTTGCTTTAACAAAAAGCTGCCGTGCTCTGCAGATGGCTGCAGAAGCAGCTCTGCTGGCGTTCCCCGCTTGTTTTCTCTCACTCAGTCCCCAGGCGCTGGCTCTGCCAAAGCCTTTCCCTGCCAGCCTCGTGCTGCGGGGCTGGGACCTGCAGCCTTCCTCCTCCTCCTCCTCCCTCCGCCGGCGAGGATGATGCCCCCGTTGATGCCTGGCTGGTGGGTGTCCCCACCGGTGGGGGACCGAGAGGGTTTTTCCCCGGCACATCCCAGGGAATCATCCGCAGGAGATAGATATAAAAATATATATAGGTTGAGGGTTTTTTTTCCCTGCTCTGCCTCTGTTAGAGAGCATTTTCTCCCTGGCCAAGGGATTTGCAGCGCTGTGACGCTCAGCGGTGGCCCCGGGCCAGCTGACCTCAGTCCTTTAGCATCAAGACAGGGCTCCCAGCCCGTGATGTTTTGCGCTGGTGGCTGCACGCCCTCGGCAATAACCTTTTGCTCTCTGGCTCTTGGTCAGCCAGAAAAGGGGGGCAGGGACCCTGCCCGTGAGCCTGGGAGGCAGGAATGGCAATTTTTCCTGGTTTTTCTGGGCAGGAGCAGCGGCGTGGCGTGTCCTACCCGTGGGGTGCAAAGCTTTGGGGCTCCCAAATGGGGTGACAGCCCGGTGGGTGCCACGGGAGGGAGAAGGGGATGGGGATGCTCATCCCTCGGTGCCGGTGGGATTTCCCGGAGGTGTTGGAGGGGGGGATCCGTGGTCTCCCCTCTAAGCTCCTCACCAGATGGCTGCTGTGCTATAAATAGGGAGGTGCTGCGTCGCCCAGGAGCTGTGGCTTTTTCTGTTTTGCTCGTAAAGGGATGTGCCACCCTTGGCACAAGCCTTGTGTTGGGGCAAACACCCCTCCCCGGGGTGCTGGGTGCTGGTGGGTACCGGTCACCTCCTCCCTGAGCATCACTGGTGGCTTGGCAGCAGAGCCAGGGATGTGGGGTGGTCATGGGTGGCTCTGAGTGGTGGGGGACAGTGGTGAACCAAGGGACAGCCACCATACCCGGCTGCCTGGGACAGGGGGTGTGGGGTGGGTGCTGGGGTGAAGCCCAGCAGATAGAATCATAGAATGGTCTAGGTTGGAAGAGACCCTTGGGATCATCGAGTCCAACCATCTCCCCTACTCTACAAAGTCCTCCCCTACACCATGTCCCTCAGCACTGCATCTAAACGGCCCTTAAACACAGCCAGGGATGGGGACTCCACCCCCTCCCTGGGCAGCCTGTTCTTTCGGTGAAAAATTCCTTCCTAATGTTCAATCTAAACCTCCCCTGTTGGAGCTTGAAGCCGTTCCCTCTCGTTCTGTCACTAATGACCTGTGAGAAGAGACCAGCACCAACCTCTCTACAGTGTCCTTTCAAGTAGTTGTAGAGAGTGATGAGGTCTCCCCTCAGCCTCCTCTTCCTCACACTAAACAGCCCCAACTCCCTCAGCCGCTCCTCATACGATTTGTTTTCCAGCCCCCTCACCAGCTTCGTTGCCCTCCTCTGCACTCGCTCCAGCACCTCCAGATCTCTCTTGGATTGAGGTGCCCAAAACTGGACACAACACTCGAGGTGTGGCCTCCCCAGTGCTGAGTACAGGGGCACAATCACCTCCCTACTTCTGCTGGTCACACTATTTTTGATACAAGCCAGAATGCCAGATGCTTCACATGCTCCAGAAACAGAAAAGCTTGTTCTTGTTCTTTGGCAGGGACGGAGGAGCAGGACGAGGAGGGGGGGGAACCCAAGACAGGTGAGTGCGTGATGCTCACGTGTTACATACGTGTTTTACCATGTGGTGCTCGTGCCATAGTCCCCTACACACACAAACACCCCGACGGGCTTCACACCCTCCATTGATGCTCATGATGTTCCACACACCCCTCGGGCTGGCAGCTCTGTGATAAGCCACGTTATCTTTTAATAAAAAAGCACACACGGCGCTCTACCATCATCAGGTGGGTTAATTACAAGCCTGGTTAATTACATGCCTTTATCTGCTGGCGCGGGAGCAAGCCCCCTTGGGATGCTGGCTCCTTTGCTGGGGGGGAGATTGAGGGACCGGGGGTGGGTGCAATTAGTGGGGTGGGTTCCCCAAAACGGGGCTCTTGGCTGTTTTGTCCCTCATGCTGTGTCTGACCAGGGTTTTTTTGCTTTTCACAGCCCTGCAGCTGCTGAAGAGCCCGGAGAGCAAGGAGGGTGAGTGCCATTCCCATAGGACCACGGGCTTGCTCGAGGTGAAGGTTTCTTCCCAAGCACATGGGAGATGATGCTCAGGTCTAAGTGTAAAGCATCTATTCCATCTCCATCATCAGGTCTTGGGGTTTTTTGAGGTTTTTTTTTCCATCTTAATTTTTTTTTCATTTATTTTCCCCAGTTTTCAATAACATTCCCCCAGATAAATTCTTTCTCAGCATTTTGAGCTGCTTCTGCTCTGGCCGCTGCCAGCAGTGATGGAGTGATGTGACCAGCAGCCCCAAAGTGGCATTTCTTCTCTTATTCTTCCTTTTCTTGGGCAACTCAGGGCCAAGAAAAGCCTCGTGCCACCAACCTGGGTCTTGGTGAGCAATTTGGGTCTTTTTTTGAGTGTTGCCATGGATTTGCTAAGAGAAGGAAAATTGCTAGGGGTTGCTCCTTGCCTTGCAGAGAAGAAGGTGTGAGCTTCCTTCCCCCCCGTGCTAGGGGTTGCTCCTTGCCTTGCAGAGAGGGAGGTGTGAGCTTCATCCCACCCCCTGTGCAGAATTCCCCATCAGCAGCCTGAATTTCTGATGGAAATGAATGAAAATTGGGAGTCCCAGCTCCTGTTTCTGCCTTTCAGTGTCTTCTCCTGGCTGGATGCTGCCAACAGCCCCGTCACCCATCCCAGCCTGCTGCTGGGCTCCATGCCTGCTCAGCCCCGCTCTTCCCCCACTCATCCTCCTCCCAAGATCTCAATCTTTTTAATTTATTTCCTTTCTTATTAAAGGCAGAACCTCAGCCTGTGCTGCTGGTGAATCACTGCTAGTTTAACCCTCCCTTCCTCTTTTATTAACAGCCCTGTTTTTTCTCCGGTGCCATTTTCCCCTCCACCCCGATAGGTTTATAAAAGACTGTTTTTCTCCCATCACACTTTCAGCGAAGCATCAACTGGCTCCGCTTTTCCTCCTCTTTATTTTTTTCCCCTTCTCCCTGCCCTTATCTCCCCCTCACAAGCCACCACAGCCCCTGCTTGGCTTCCCAGCCCCTTGGCTTTCCATCCCCGCCGCAGCCTGTTTGCTTAACCCCGAGACATCCCCTGCTTGCTCCTCCACCACTTTTGCAGCAGAAAAGAAGCTTGAATTAATAACATCTCCCAGGGTTTGCCAGCTGCAGCGGAGTTTCTAGCCAGGAAGATGGATGGAGGGATAAAACCACACCTACGTGTGCCTGGTTGTATTTGCCCGGGGCTGGGAGTGGGGAGGATTGCAGGGTGGTCCCCATTTTCCAGGGCAGGGAGAGCCAGGAGCTGCTGGTAACCCATTTAAATTATTCATTTAGACCCGTGGGTTATTATTCTCTTTTAATATCTTTGCCAATATTTATTTCTTCTATTTTTTCACCCCAGATAATGAGCAAGAAATTGATTGATGGAAGCTTGGATGCCCCCAAGCCGGCACCTTGTGCCCTGGACCAGCTGAGGTATCTCCAGCAGGGATGAGCTTTGGGTCCCCTGGAGAGGGCACGGACCTGCTGCCACCCCTCGTCCTGGGCCCTGTCACCATCCTCCTTCCTCAGCCACGTCTTCGGGGCACCCTGGGGCTGGAGAGAGGCTGCATCTCTTTATCCCTGGTGAGCCCTGAAGACCAGATCCTTCCTGGAGATGGTGTGGGTGGGGAGGAGGCTCCTCCTTGTCTGTCTGTCCATCCCCACACTGGGCTGAGAGCAACCAGGGTTGACTGTTCCCTCCAGCACCCTCTGTGCCTGCTCTTGTGGCTCCACAACCGAGCCAGCCTCCCTCCAGGTGCCTTCCAGAGCAAATTTTGGTGCCCTTCCCAAGCCCAGAGGCCTTGAGAGGGTTGATGGGCTCAGCGAAGCTGCTCTTGTGGCTCCACAACCGAGCCAGCCTCCCTCCAGGTGCCTTCCAGAGCAAATTTTGGTGCCCTCCCCAAGCCCAGAGGCCTTGAGAGGGATGATAGGCTCAGTGAAGTCCCTGGGAGCGACTGATGGAGCCCTGGTGGCTTCAGGAAGATGAATGGGACCTGCAGGACCCCCAGGCGTGGGGGGACAAAGCTGGTGCTCTTGGCCCCAATGGATGCACCTCTCTGGGGACATGTGGGGATGAGTATTTTTTCACATCACACCACTGTGGTTCACAGAATCATGGAACAGTTTAGGTTGGAAGGGACCTCTAAAGGTCACCCAGTCCAACCACAGTACAGGGGCACAATCACCTCCCTACTTCTGCTGGTCACACTATTTTTGATACAAGCCAGAATGCCAGATGCTTCACATGCTCCAGAAACAGAAAAGCTTGTTCTTGTTCTTTGGCAGGGACGGAGGAGCAGGACGAGGAGGGGGGGGAACCCAAGACAGGTGAGTGCGTGAGAAACCTGGCCCAGTGTCTCACCACCCTCAGCGTAAAAACAGTTCTTCCTTCTGGCTAGTCTAAATCTCCCCTCTGTTAGTTTGAAGCCACTACCCCTCGTTCCCCTCTGTTAGTTTGAAGCCACTACCCCTTGTCCTGCTAAAAAGTTTGTCCCCATCTCTCCTGGAGCCCCTTGAGGGACTGGAAGGGGCTCCAAGGTCTCCCTGGAGCCTTCTCTTCTCCAGGCTGAACCCCCCCAACTCTCTCAGCCCCCCCTCCCAGCAGAGGGGCTCCAGCCCTCCCAGCATCTCCGTGGCCTCCTCTGGCCCTGCTCCAACAGGTCCATGTCCTTCTAGTGTTGGTGGCCCCAGAGCTGGAGGCAACACTGTGGAAAGGTCTCCCCAGAGCGGAGCAGAGGGGCAGAATCCCCCCCTGGCCCTGCTGGCCACGCTGCTGGGGATGCAGGCCAGGATGCTGGGAGCTTTCTGGGCTGTGAGCACACATTGTAGGCTCATGTCCAGCTTTTCACTCACCAGAACCCCCAAGTCCTTCTCCTCAGGGCTGCTCTCCATCCCGTCATCCCCCAGCCTGTACGGATACTGGGGGTTGCCCCAAACCAGGTGCAGGACCCTACACTTGGCCTTGTTGAACTTCATGAGGTTCACACAGACCCACTTTTCCAGCCTGTCCAGATCCCTCTGGATGGTATCCCGTCCCTCAGGTGTGTCACAGTCCCACTCAGCTTGGTGTTGTCAGCAAACTTGCTGAGGGTGCCCTCGATCCCACTGTCCATGTCGTTGATGAAGATATTGAACAGTACTGGTCCCAGTATGGACTCCTGAGGGACACCACTTGTCACCAGATTCCATCTGGGTGTTGAGCTGTTGGCCACTACCCTCTGGATGTGACCATCCAACCAATTCCCCGTCCACCCATCGGATCCGTATCTCTCCAGTTTAGAGAGAAGGATGTTGTGGGCAACTGTGTCCAAGGCCTCACAGAAGTCCAGACAGACGGCATCCCTAGCTCTTCCCTTGTCTGATGGTGTAGTCATCAGAGAAGGCCACGGGGTTGGTCAGGCAGGACCGTCCCTTGGTGAAGCTGGGCTGACTGTCTGGAGTCACCTCCCTGTCCTCCATGTGCCTTAAGCTTCTTGGAGAATCTCTTCCATGGTCTTCCCAGGCGCGGAGGTCAGTTCTGAGGCTGACGGGTTGGTTCCTGATGGACTTCCATATTTGCCTTAAATGCAAAATCCCACCGGGGTGGTTATTCCTTGTCTTAAATTTTCTGAGGGGGGGTGAAAGGCAGGGCTTGGGGTGGGGGGGGACACACCTGCTGGCCAGGTGAAGCCCCCTTGTCTTCCCCCTCATGCCAAAGCTGATGCTCCAGGAGCTAAAGTGGTGGTGGGGACGAGCCTTGGTGTTTCCCATGGGATGGGGGGGGTCTTTGCCCCCGTGCCTGTCCTGGGGGTCCTCCCTCCACTGCTGGGTGCATGGGGGCACCCCCGCTGCCGGGGTGAAGGGGGTGGCACGTCCCTGCTCCCGCTCTGGTGGGGTGGAGAAGCCCTGGCTGTGCCCCTCGGTGGCTCTTCTGCTGGTTTTTGTCATTATTTAAAATCCAGAATCTGAAGGTGGTTTTTTTTTGTGCCTTGACAAATAAATCTGGGGGTTGTTTTGGACAGTGTTTTCCAGGCTCCGTGTGGTCTCTGGGATGCGGCTTTGTCCCTAATGAGTTTAAATGTTGAATTTCCCAGAATGAAACCTTTCTGTCCCCCTTTCTGCCCAGCACTGTCTGTCCCTTGGTCCCCTGTTGCCACCGCAGCACCTTGCACCGTGCTGTCCTCATCCATCACCCAGCGTGGGGAGAAGACCTCTCCAGTGATGGAGAGATGCCTGCCCTCATCCCTCCTCTTCAGTTTAATACCTGGAGCAGCGGAAACAAAAAGCAAAGTTCTGAAGGGACATCATCACCTTCAGTGGTGGCACTGAAATTCGGGTTGGTTGATCCCAGAGATGGGATGTGAGGGGGGGTCTGATGGGGGCTGGTGGAGAAGGGACCTTCCTGAATCACCCGTGGAGGATTATTTCTGGTTGTCCATCCCCCGGCACGAAGGCAGGCTCTGCGTTTTGATAGAAAAGTACTTCTAGAAGCCAGACAAGGGAAAGGGTGTTGGTGTCAAACTGGGCTTAGGGAGGGGATGGATGGTGATTTCCTTCAGGGGTTTTTGATCTACAGCCTGGATCAAGCACCGGTGCAATTTTTAATGAGGTGCCAGGAGGTACCATTGATATTATTTAGCACCCAGATGCTGGGCTGGGGGAATGAAGCCATTAACCACCCCCAGCTCCTTGGCGGGTGGTGGGATGAGTTGTCCCCACATCCAAGACATCTTGAAAGGACCTGAGATGGTGCCAGCGCCCCTGGGGATGTCTTCTCCAGCTAGGAGCTTTCTGGGGCATTTCCTTGGGCAGATTTGAGGGGTGGGTGGTTTTTTTTGGCAAAACACAGCCTGGGCCATGCAGGGAGGGAGACCTTGAGGATGGTAAGGGAGAAAATTAGGATTTCCCTGGGGCAAATATTGCTTGGGTGGCCCAGGCTGATGAGTGGTCCCAAACTGTGAGCTTCTGCTTGGGGCTCAGCCCCTCACTGCTGTCCCTGGGAGGATGAACCATGCTTTGGCATGGGATAAAGCATCCCAGGAGGAGCTTAGTTGTCCCCCTTGTCCCCAAGTGCCATTGGCTGTCCAGGTGTTGGGGCTTTTTTGAGGAAGGAAACCATCCATCCTCTTCTTCAAGGGCTCCTTAATCCAACAGGCTGGTGTATGGGTGCTGTGGATGAGACCCAGGCAGGGAGGAGGCTGGTTGGCTGTGATGATGTGGGGGTTTTTCCATTCCTCCAAAGCCCCAAATATTTTTCTTCACTGAATTTCACTGAATTTCACTGAATTTCTAGAGTCGGAAGGGACCATAGAGATCATCTAGTCCAACTCCCCTGCTGAAGCAGGATTGCCTAGAGCTTGTCAGAGCATGTTACTCAGGAGCATCCAGGTGGGTCTTGAAAATCTCCAGAGAAGGGGACTCCACAACCTCCCTGGGCAGCCTGTTCCAGGGCTCTGCCACCCTCACTGTGAAGAAGTTTCTCCTCATATTTGAGTGGAACCTCTTCTGTTCCAGCTTGTGCCCGTTGCCCCTCGTCCTCTCACTGGGAACCACTGAAAAGAGTCTGGCTCCCTCCTCCTTCAACCCTCCCTTGAGATACTTGTCAGCATTGATAAGGTCTCCCCTCAGCCTTCTCTTCTCCAGACTAAAGAGTCCCAGCTCTCTCAGTCTCTCCTCATAAGGGAGATGCTCCAATCCTTGGAGCCCAGAACTGGACACAGTACTCCAGTTGTGGCCTCCCCAGTGCAGAGCAGAGGAGGAGAATGACTTCCCTTGACCTGCTGGCTACACTCTTCCCTCTGCAACCCAAGATCCCATTGGCCTTCCTGGCCGCAAGAGCACACTGTTTACTCATTGTCATTTTACTGTCCACCAGGACCCCCAGATCTTTCTCTTCAGTAGTTGCCTCTAGCGGGTCCACCCCTAACCTATACTGGTACCTGACATTTTTCTTCCCCAGGTGCAGGACCCTACCCTTTCTTTCTTCACCCACTCCCGGATAGGGGTGAACCTGGCAGCTGGGAAAGTGGGATTTGACAGGGATGCAGAGCGTGAAGGACCCGGCCCTGAGAGCTGGCAGCAGCTCAAGCTGCCGGAGCTCGCTCGTGTTTGCTCTCATCCCTCCCGGGAGCAGGCGAGGCTGCGAGTTCATCCAAACACCTTCTGTGGGTGAAACACAACAGAAAAATCACATTTGGCAGATTATTTCAGAAAGCGCCGGGGCGAGTCTCTCCCCAGCCCCGATCGATGGCAGCTTGATTCTCCCCGTCAATAATAAATGAAGAGATCCCACGTCTCCTATTGACCTAATTACAGAGGGACGGGAGGATGGAGGGGCTGGGCCTTGCTGCTGCCTTTCCCTGAGGGCTGGATGGGATGGGATGATGGATGGGATGGGGTGGGATGGCATGGGATGGGATGATGGATGGGATGGGGCAGGATGGGATGGGATGATGGATGGGAAGGGATGGGATGGGATCAGATGGGATGATGAGGGATGGGAAGGGGTGGGGTGAGATGGGATGGGATGATGGATGGGATGGGGCAGGATGGGATGGGGTGGGATGGGGGGGGGGGG